ACAAATTTTTGTACCTAAGGTGTTCCAAGAGGCCTTATAAAATTCAAAGGTGTAACCATCCGGCCCCGGGGCTGCATGAGAAGGCGCAGAGAAAATCACATTCTTAATCTCCTCAGTCGAAAAAGGAGCAGTCAGACCAGCAATAAGATCGGTAGGCAGAGAATTTCCAGTCGGAAGGGGAGCAAAGCTGAGAGGAGTAGGCCCGTTAAAAAGGCTTTGGAAGTGACTTGTGAAGGCTGAGGAAATCTCAGCTTGGGAGTTATACATAATGCCATTCACAGAAATCCCTCTAATTTGATTAGAGTTATGCTTGACGTTGATAGTGGAATACAAAAACTTCAAATCATCTTCTCCAGCCTTGAGCCAATTAGCCTTACTTCTCTGAGAAACCCACTCAACCATTCTATCTTTCAGAGCAAACAACTCAGAAGAAATAAAGTTGAGGTTAGAATTCAAAGTGTGATTTAAAGGGTCTTGTTGAAGTCTGGAAACAGCATCGGTTTGGGCAAGAGACATATTTTCAAGATCATCCCGCAGAGAGTTGGAAGAGAACCAGTTCTGATGTTTTAGAAAGTTTTTTAACTCTCTAAGCTTATGATAATGATCACAGATGGGACTGCCGGAAGGAGGGGCAGAGAACACATCCAAAACACCTTCCCAGAAAGCAGGAATAGTACTCCAATAATTCTTGAACATGAACCGATGATTTTTGTTGGGAAGCAGATCCAAATGAAGGATTATAGGGCAGTGGTCAGAGATATCAGGATCACTAACAATGTAGTAAGAATTGGTGAAGGTAGACAGCCAGGTGTCATTCACCAAAACTCTATCTAGCTTAATATGAATTGGATAATCAGGTCTCTGATTATACCAAGTATAATAGTGCCCAACCGAAGCTAAATCAGAAACTCCCGTATTAAAGACAAAGTTGTTAAGTTCTCCCAGCTTACTTTGAGTGAGAGGAAGACCCCCAGCTTTCTCATTAGGGACCCTGCAGCAGTTAAAGTCACCTAAAATGGCCCAAGGCAGAGGAGAAGAGCTAGGAAGATTAGAAACATCATTCCAAAGGAGTTGTCTTTCAGCAATAGAATTTGAAGCATAGATAACAGAAACACAGCAAACATCCTGAGTCCCCTGTTTAATAATCCCATGAATAACCTGGCTAGAAGTAAACAGAGGAATGAAGGAAACCTTTTGAGCATTCCACTTTATCCAAATACGACCAGGTGAGGAGAATGAAAAATTGTCATAAGAACCTTCAACCAGAAAGATTGAATGAGCAAAATTAAACCAGTCATCAGTGACTGAAGCGGCTAAAACCTTAGCTTCCAGAATAAACAACATATCTAAATTAAATTTAGTAACCAAAGACTTGCAGGACATAACTTTGGAGGCATTGTTGAACCCCCTAATATTCCAAGACGCCATACGTGGGAGGGTCATTTATGTTTATTTTTTGGAATTACCCGCCTTTTTGGCTTGCTTGCTTCTGGTGTTTTTTGGGCTAGGGATATTTTTTGCTGAGCCAGAACTGAAGTTGGAGCTCTGGGATGGGCTATTATCGGTAGAAGACAGTGGAGAGGATTGGGAATTAGAGTTGTTCTGGATCAACAAAGGGGGCTGTTCATTAGAAGTGATTTTTGAGGGGGGTGAGGTGGGAGGAGGTTGAAAAGGTGGGTTGGTGGAAATATTATCAGGGTCCATTTGGTCAGACAGGAGATCGAACTTGTTGTTCACCAGAAGAGTGGCTGGAGGAGGAAGGGTCGGGATTGTGGGTGTCAAAGAAGAAGAGGGGATATCCACAGGAGCGACATCACTGGGAGGTGAGTTAAGATTTGGGATTGTGGTTGCATTAGGAGGGCCTGAGTTAGGAAGCGCAGGAGGGTCTGAGGGGAATGTAACCGGATGAGGTGGAGGCTTTTTGAAGGTAGCAATCGGTGGAGGTTGGCTCTTTCGTGGATTACGGCTGGAGCTTCTTCCCCTAGTATTATGAGGCTGGGTAGGGGGAGGTTGGGGGTTAGGATTTTTTGGGCATTGAGCAGGAGCGTGATAGATAGAGCTACAAAAGGTGCAAGGGGAAGGCTTCCAGTCGTAAAGAACTGTGAGAGGAGTGATCTTACCATCGACTGAAATAAAAATTTCATCAGGCAGAGGGTTAGAGCACGAAACCTGCACACAGACCCTAGCAAAGGTCAGTCTGGTTTTTGCCGCTGTGAGGGCGTCAACAGCAAGCGGAACTCCAACGCAGCTCGCGATTTTGGATATCCCTTCCGGCGTCTAGCAAGAGAGTGGAAGGTTTTTTATCTTTATCCATAGAGGGATCGACGCAAAATCTTCACGCTTCGGGATAAAATCAGGCGACCATTTTTGTAGGATAAATGGTTTTCCGAAGAAGAACCATGGCCCTCCCGACCAGGCCATGTCGTAATCTTCAGGGGATGAAAACTTTAGCAGAAAAAAACCGTCGTCTAAGGTGAGGAGGGAGAGTTCCCCCTTCAGCTTCCAGGTACGCTTGATCACAGACAAAAGGGCTTCATAAAATGGCCTTCTTTCTATGGAGTAACCGACTAAGGAAAGCGACCATTCAGGAGCACCAGCGACAAACTGCGATTGGGTGAAATGGGCCGTGAAGTTTTTTGTGGGATGGTGGGCAAGAGAGCTAGAGAAATCGTGGGAAACAGGGGTCTTGGAAGAGAGAAGGAGCTTACAGTGAAGAAGCTCGTCGGAGAAGGGGGCCATGGTGGCGGAGGCAGATGGCAGCGGGGGGAAGGCGGCGGAGGAGGACATCCGGAAAGACGGTGTCCTCCTCGAGGCGGCGGGGAAAGAAAAAAGCGCGCGAGAAAAAAAAAAAGGATGCCCTAGCAGAGCGGCAAAAATATTTCTGTTCCAGAACATCTAGTTCAGCCGATTCAAGTACACTATCAAGATCTTACCTGCTAAAATAAGAAATCTCATTACAAAGAAAGAAAGAAATCAACAGTGATAATACGAGTAACTATAATGATATGCAAGAGAAATCTTTGAACAAACTTCGAGTGAAATATAATTCAACGAGATATATCAAAAGTAATTTTCAAACAAAAAACGCACCTTCAACAATATTTGTCAAAATAAATATATAATGAGAATATTAAATAAAAATAATGTATTATTAATCATATAAGATCAAACATTCAATGTGAACATCAAATTTAATTATGATAGTTTTAGCTTTTGCAACAGCAACGCTCACAACGGATTTAGCACTCATCAAAAAGCTGCGCTGCACTTAACTAATGTACAAAGGTGCTCAATTAACGAGAAACTTTATGTTATTATATCCTAATTAAAATTTAATTAGAATTTACTTTAAATAAATGCAATATCAAAATTAAATGATTATTAATTACATAATATAATTATCTCAAACAATCTAGCAATTCATCAAAAAAAGTCATTTTTCTATGATTTGACCGAATATCAAAAGGGAAGCCATCCACAATATTAAAAAAACAATAATAAATCTGTTTCTGATTGGCCAACTTAGGATTGATTCACATTAACCAAGAAACCTTCCCTAACAATTTTTGTTTAGGATTTTTTTAATCGGAATATAGAATATATTTTAGATTGCACAATAACGCACTACTCACATGAATCGCAGCCAGTATTTTATATGTACTTTAATTTATAAACTGCAATAACCTGCAAAATTACAAAAATATATGCTCAATTTATGAAAAAAATATAGAGTAATCAATGGCGGATCCAGCCCTTTTTTTTAGGATGGGCAAACTTAATATATAATAGATATATTTCAATAGCAAAATTCAAAGCAAAGCATTATATTACATCATAACTTTTAAAAAGAAAATTACAAACTTTGCATTCTACTTTGCATTTTTTGATAATGTTGCATAATAATGGTTGCATCATAAAATTTTTTTATTACTTTTTTATATATGCTTAGATATGTATTTAATTTCATTAAAAATAGATTTCCATCTATACTTTTTTATGTTAATATTCGTTCCATTTCACCGAGCTCAATTCTCATATAATTTGTAAAATCTAAATGGGATTGTTATTTGATTTTTTATCTGTTTTTCATTTCATAGAATCACACATCAATTAAAATCAAATGGAACAATCACGAATCTAATATGTGAAACTAGAATATTTATAAACCTAATTCTATTTCTTATCCCATTTTTTTTAATTCTATCATAAATGTTGAAATTCATAACAAAACTCTAATAGATGCAATCTAAAATTCTGAAGAAAAACTTTTTAAAATTATCTGTAACTGGAGATAAGAACAAGGGAAGGTGCAACCAACACAACAAATTTTGATAAAACAAAATACCATCATATATAAAACAATTTCAAGAAAAACCTATTGTAGACAACTAAACACCATGTGTAGATAAGGAAAAATGGAAGATAAAGAAAAAACTACTGTAAAAAAATTTTTTCAAGATGCAAATAAAAAAAATGGAAGCAAGAAATAGAACTTACCTTCAAAACGATGAAGGCGGCTGAAAAATGAAAAGAGAGGGCTGGGTAGAGTGGTTGCGGGCTGCGACTGTGAGAGACGGGAGGCGATTGTGAGAGACGGGAGGCGAAAGAAGCTTTCTTATGGAAGCAAGAAATATAACTTACCTTCACGAAGAAGCTCATATGAGAAGATGAAGGCGGTTGCGGGATGCGACTGTGAGAGACGGGAGGCGAAAGAAGCTAAGACGGGCGAATAGAGAGCTCCGCCGAAAGAAACTGCGAACAAGAGCGGGCTGCAATGCCAAAATTTAGGGCAAATACTTTTTTTGAGGGGGGGCATATTTCCTAAAGTACCCCTCCACTGCTGTTTTTTTTTTTAGGGTGGGCATTTGCCCACCCTTAGCTGGGCGTGGATCTGCCCTTGGGAGTAATATAAACTAAGCGAAAGCCCAAGGCAATCACCAGATGGCAAATAAAAGGAAAGAATCATTTCTCTTCAGCTATTGTGGCTTAAAAAAAGGGCATTTCAAGCTCGACAATCGATACCCATTAAAATGCAGAGAAAACAGAATCAACATAAAACTTGGACAAAACCAAAATCTTATGTTAACAAATAGATAGTAAAACATCGGCCACATGAAAATAATCTAAAGAACAATAAGATAAGCTTAATTCCAGAATCTGCTAGTTCATTCAACGTCTAAATCGGCGAATAAAAATAATTTAGAAGACTCTGTAAGGCTTTCCCATCGTGCTCTTCAGATACAAGCACCTCACCTGTAGAAGAAAAATATTCGAGTATCTCAATAAAAAATTTCAATCAACATATGAAAGTTATAAAATGAGAAGGCAATTAACTGTTGTCTAAGGTGAGAAATAGGTGCAAAAATGGCAAAAAAAAAAGTTTTTTGAAAAAATAGCAATAAGTTAAAGGATCCTATAAATAACCACAAAGGATGATGTTGCCAATCTGTAGTTTAAATAAAATCGGCAAGTATTGATCAAGCTCGTTTATTGCAACACAGCATATATTAACAAAACTTGGACTGAGGAATCTCTCTAAATGAAACATTAAAATTATTGCTTGTACGTGCCCAAATTAAAAATCATAAGTACGTAAGGATTCAGACTATGATCTAATTCATTCTATAAAAATATCAATAGCATAGGTTTGAAAATCAGGTTTCAGAAAAAAAAAATTCTGGCAAATCAAGCTTACTAGTTTTGCACTATTTCCACACACAAAAAAAAAAAAAAACAACTGACTTGTCCGGTCATTCTACGTTAACCTTATAAAAAGAGGAATGAAGTTTGAGAACTTACATTTTGCCAGTTTTTCTTCAGAAGAGAAACAAGGAAATTCACACTGAGCTGAACATTTTGAAATATCTGCTTCTCCTCCATTCCGCAATTACCCACTGCAACGCCCATACAGAGGACTTTCTTTAGTTGGAATTTAACCATAGCTTTAGTTTCATTAACTTTTGATTCCAAGGATTCCTGATGACTAACAAGTGTAGGAAACTTCCCTGCATTGCCGAAGAATAGTAGAAATCAGACACTATTCAAGAGTTTTAATTTGTAACTGTAATATAGAAATTAGACAAATTAAATATGCCAAAAATATATATTAAATAGCCAAATCATATGAAAAAGTTAGGGTTTGCAAAACTGAAAATGTGAAAATAACTATGCTAAGATGCATGTATGATAAAATCAGAAAAGATAAACTGATGAATGATTAAATTAAAGGGACAATAGAAGTAGCATCTATTGAAGATAAAATAATAATAATTTGACAATATATGATTTTATATGTCCATTGAAAAATAGAAATGAATAGGTCTATAAAACTAGGATTGATGGATTATGAAGAATAAGGAACAACTTAAGGTAAGCATGAATAGAAGTTTTAAAAAATTTATGCAAAATATATTTAAAAAAAACAATAACATCAACCATTTACCCACTACGTGGTTTCAGCTACATAAATATTTTTTCTCCATTGTGTCATGTTAAAAGTCAAATTCTTATTTAAATCTATAAAAAAAAGATCATTTTTAATACTTTCTAACCATGCATTTTTAGGTCTACATCTACCTTTATTAACATAGGTCAGATCTAATATATCTACTCTCGTAATAGTGTCATCGAAAGGCCAAAGTTTATGTGACCAAATTCAACCACCTAAGCATCATCAACTTTGCAATACTTAATTTTATGCTTTTTTTTTAATGGCCAACACTTTGTGCCATAAACCATTATAGATCTCACAACCATCTTATAAAATTTTTTATTAACTTTGAGAGGTACTTTTCTATCACACAACAGGCTTGATACATTCCTCAACTTCAACCATCCAAATTGAACTTTACTGATAATATTCACATCTATTTCACCATTGCTTTGAATAATATACATGATATATCTAAAATGTGCGCTCTTTTTAATGACTTGATCATCCAATGTCGCAATCTTATCATTATATCTAATTAATATTAAAATTACACTCTATATATTTGGTTTTAGATCTACTCAAACGAAAGCCTTTAGACTCTAAGGTTGACCTCCATAATTCAAGTTTTTCACCAACTCTCTCTCTAGTCTCATCAACAAGAAGAATATCATCAGCAAAAACATATACCAATGTACATCCTCTTGCAAATGTATAGTAAGAATATCCATGACTAAAACAAAAGATATGCCTTAAAGCTTATCCTTGATGTAATCAAACTAAAATAGGAAAATACTAGTGAAAAATCATGTGTTTGAATACAACAGCTATTGTATATATATCCTTAATGACTTAAATATAAGTATTATTAACTCTTTTCTTTTCTTGAACTCTCTAGAGCACTTCTTTTGAAACTTTATCGTATACTTTCAATAAATCAATAAATATCATATGTAGATCCTTCTTATTCTCTCTATAATTCTACATCAAACCTCTAAACAAATGTATATCTTCCATAGTAGTCTACCCGGCATGAATCCAAACTAATTTTGAGAAACATTAATATCACATCTTAACCAATGCTTAATTACTCTCACATAATTTTAATGTATGATATTTAATATAATTCCTATATAATTTACACACTCTTGTGCGTCACCTTTATTTTTAAAAATAAGAATCAACACACTCCACTCATCTAGCATCATTTTAGTCTTGAAAACAATTTGATGTGAAACATAATAGGAATTGAAGGAATTTAATAAAAGTTATTAAGCTTGCTAATTGTAATAGTAATTGAAGGAATTTAATAAAAGTTATTAAGCTTGCTAATTGTAATAGGAATTGAAGGAATTTAATAAAAGTTATTAAGCTTGCTAATTGTAAAATTAATGTTTTACAAGAATTAGATTTTATGAGTTCTTAGTTGTAGTTGTGCTTTGGCATGCGGTTAAAAGAAAGAATAAAAGGACAATTTAAAATAACAACTTATAGTAAAGCTAAGGGCATAAACAATAGAAATTTATTGTTTAACAAATAAAAATTTCACCTTGAGTTCTCCTTACTTTCACTCTTAAGGTGGTTTTAACAGAAGAATAATTTTAACAAATTTAGAGATGCTACCAAAAGACATAAAACACTTGCAGTATTGCCCAACGAAAAGTTAGCCGGAGGGGAAAAAGTTGGCGGATGTCCGATAATTCGCCATTGTCTGGAGATTTGGTGTTCCTCGATGGCAAACGTCCAAGTGAAAAGGATTCGGTCGACGTAGTCGTCGACAATGTCATCGATCTCATGTTGAGGTTGAAAAAGGGAGACCGGAGGATATTTACTCTTCCTTGAAGATCATATACAAATCCATGATCGTGCTCAGGATCTGCCATTAATGGGGGAGAGATGTCTCTTCAACTCCGAGACAGGCCAAAGTGGTCGGCAGTTTGATGGAGAAGAAGAGGGGTCGGCCGGCTTGGAGAGAACCTTGGGGTTAGGGATTTAAGTAGTAAGAATCAAGAGGAGAGAAGGGGGGGGTTAATTCCTTGATTAATTAACCTTGAGTAGAAATTAATATTCGAGTTAATTTGAGAGGTAAGGAGGGAGAATTTCAAATTCTCTAATTGGTGGAGGAATTATGGGGGGAATTGGGTTTTAATTGGGAAATAATTTTAGTGGAGGAGAGAGCGAGGGGAGGGGATGGCGACAAGAAAGGGAGAGAGAGGGGAGGGGGCTGGCAGCTTATGTGGGGATTAATGGGATTAATTAAGAGGGGGGAGTTAATTGGAGAGAGAAAAGGGTATAGGGGGGACCCATCCAAGAGATGGGGGTGGAAGTGTCCACATACAATGTATGTGGCCCCTAGTATTAAATGTTGATTGGAAAATCAAATCTGAATTTTAATTTCATATTTAGGGGTGATTGGGAAGTTTCCTAACATGGGCTTGTGCTAATTTGGAAAGTATTTGAAATTCAAATTAATTTGAATTTGAATTAAGGGGTCTACCAAATTAGGAAAACACTAATGAGGAGATTGGAAAAAAGAATCATGGGGATTGGGGTTAGCATGGTCGGTAGCTAGGGTTGACTAGGAGAGGCAGACAGCTAGGGAGGGATCGGTTTGTGGTGATTTGGGTGGAGGGGCAGATAGTGGAGGAATTTGGGGAATAGTGGGCCAACGGGTGGGGTTGGGAAAGGGTTTAGGTGGAGGGAGGTAGTCTTGGCCGGAATTTGGGAAGGGGGATTGAGGGTTGCTGGCGTTATAGGGTGGAGGAAGGGGAAAAAAGAAAAAAAGAATATGAACCGCAAGCCCGAATTTAAATATAATCTTGGAACTGAAGTGGCCCACTCCAACAAAGGAATCTTCATTTCAAAGAAAAAATATATTAATGATCTTCTTAACGAAACAGGTAAACTAGCTTGTAAACTGGAACCAACACCAGTTGAATCAAATCTCAAATTGGGGTAAGTTAAAATAGATCCAAATGTAAATAAAGGAGCTTACCAGAGACTTGTGAGGAAATTGATCTATCTTTCCCACATCATACCAGATATAGCTTTGTTGTAACCATGATCAGCCAATTCATGCAAAATCCAAAGCAGACCTATGGACATAATACTACACTATCTTAAGAGGAACCTAGGTAAAGGGATTCTCTTCATAAGAAATTGTATAATAACCCAGAAGCATATAATGAAGCAGATTACGCGAGATCACCTATAGATAGACGATCTACCTCAGGATACTACATTCCGTGGAGAAAACCTTATTACATGGAGAAGCAAGAAGTAGAATGAGGTGGCAAGATCTAGTGCATAAACAGAATCCAGAATAATGGTTTTAGAAACATGTGAGCTATTGTGGATCAAACTAATTAGAGAAGACCTAAGTAATCAAGTAGGAAGGACTCCTGAAGTTACACTGTGACAATTTAACAATCAGCATAGCTCACAATCTAGTTCATCATGATAGGAGCAAGCATATGGAAATGGATAGATATTTCATAAAGAAGAAATTAGACATTGGTCTCATATGTATCGACCATGTCTCATCAAAAGAGCAGCTTAAAGATATTTTTACCAAGGGACTCGATAGCTCTACTTTATGGGATTAATTACCAAGTTGAAAATGACGGATCTATATTCACCACCTTGAGGGGGAGTGTTAAATCCCAACCATACCTTGGCATTTTGATCCCACGGCTAGGATGGGAATCCGTGAGAGGCTCACCTATTAAATCCTAGCCATCCCTTGGCATTTTGATCCCATGGCTAAGATGGGAATCCATGGGAGGCTCGCCTAAATTACGCTAATCTCCTTCCGTGTTTAGATGGCTGATTAGGAAGGATTATATTAGAGCAATTATGCATTATTCTGTAATTATTTGTTTCTTTATTAAGATATCATGTATAGATCTATAAATAGTGAAAAAGTTTGTGCAATAAAATTAAGCATTTTTCCTCTCTAATTCTCTGAATTTAACAGATACATCTTCACATCAAGGCGCTTATACTTTATATGAACCAAATAACTCGTTATTAACCTTGAGCCCAAAAAATGTAAATAAAAACTATTAAAAAGCAAACAAAAAAAACTAACAAAATGGTGCACACTATGTGCATTATCAGTGCACAAAGCATGGAAAAATTTACATTTTTGTTTCTTGCTATGCCAATAACATAGGAGGTGTACCTTGTTACGCTATGGTTCAAAGAATGCTACTAACAAGTGTGATTGAACCATATGCCTTAATTTCTTTCCCATATATATTTATTATTTTTGTTTTAAAAAAATGTTTATTTGTTCATGTAGAGGAAGAATTAAACAAGTATGTAGCTAATTAGATGGCAAGCTGATGAAGGAAAGTGCTATCTCTATTTTCATGCGTAGAAAATATTTACTTAATTGCTCTCTAGAAAGTTTTTTTCCTCTTGTTATGCTTCTCTCTTTACTCTATCTTCGGCTTTTCCAAAAGTAGATTTTATATAACTTCCACCTGCTAATGTTACACCAAAGGCGTAGAAGGGCCTCAAAAGCGATCATACAACGGTAACTTTTCATTTATATAAACGCATACTTTAAAA